TGATTTGGATCTCCTTCTCCGTGGGCAAATCCCAGTAGCGCACGGTCTTGTCGTCCGACGAGGAGAAGATGTGCACGTTGTCCAGCGACCACTTGGTCACGTGAACGGGGCTGGGCGCACGAAACAGGGAAGAGACCCAAAATGAGAAATTGCGTGTCGTGTGCCGTGCGTGTCGTGTCGTATCATGTGTGGTGGCGTTGGTGGCTGTTGGAGGTGACTAGAGCTCACCTTTCATGGCCTCTGAGGGAACGGAGGATGGCACGGGAGCCCAGGTCGAAGATCTGGACGACGGGGACCTCACCGCCGGCGACGAGCAGCTTGCCGTCGTTTCGGTAGCTGGCGGAGTAGGCGACGTCCCTGAAGCGCGAGAGGGTCTTCACGGGCTTGTGGCTGGCCGAGCTGTAGATCTGCACGCGGCTGCTGCTCGTCACGGCAAAGTTGTGCGGCGAGACGGGCGAGAAGTTGATGCTCGTGACCGCTCCATATTGCTTAATCAGCACCGGAAACTGAATCGCATCACAAGAACGAACGTAAAGGTCCCACAATTAGCACCAATTATTTCATGATTACAGGAAAATCGCTGGTAAATCTGCCAATTGCGGAAGATTGCAGGGGATGGAGATTTGGCGGCGATTAATCTCATTGTTACCTTGAACTGCTTCCAGTGTCGCTGCTCGCCCGTGGAGACGTTGGTGGGGTCTCTCGGGAAATGCTTCTGAGGAAGGACACGGTACTCCTGCGTCATCTCTACCGCCGATGTTGAACTCTACGCCTTCTTGCCCACCTTCTTCCTTCTTTCCCCATTTTCTTCGCCTGGCCGAAATTTCTCACATTCCACATTTGCCGACACTTTTGGGGCGACAGAGCGACAACGTCCCCAACTGCCCAAGACACCATTGTGACTCCGCCTGGTCGTATGAGCTTCAAAGAAAGGCATGGGGGAGTTTCATAGGACTTCAGAATGCCGTGTAGGTCCAGCCATGGGGAGCTGCCATTGCCGGCATTCCGGTGTGTGGTCACAGCGTGCGATTGGGAGGAAACGTTGTGGCGGGTACAAAGTCCCTTGCCCAATCAGCTCTTCCCCGCTGTTGCTTCGGCGGGCATACAAGAGCTGCACCGCATAGTTGTTGTAGTTTACCTTACCTTCTTCACCGTCGCACCACCCATCAGCCCGCCATCATGACCCACTCCCTCGGTAGTACTGTCACCCTGCTCGTCCTCTTCGCGCTGGCTTGCGCGCTCGTGCCCCGAGCAGCCGCCACGATCTACGTGGACGCTAACAGCACCTGCACCACCTCATGCGGGTCGGCCGAGTCGCCCTACGCCACGATCGGCGAGGCCCTGCGCGACACGAACAACAACAACGGCGAGATTGTGGTGCGGAGCGGGACCTACACGGGCACCAACAACTACAACCTGACGGTGGGCTCGTCCAACGTAGTGCTGCGCTCGGAGAGCGGCGACCCGGCCACGACGGTGATCAACTGCGCGCGCCAGGGTCCCGGCCTGATCGTCTCGTCGAGCACCTTCACCATGCAGGGTTTCACCATCCGCAACTGCGAGGCCGAGAACGGCGGCGGCATGCACATCTCCTCCACCTACACCGTACGCCCTTCCTTTTGCCATCTTTTTTCGCACATCGTCTTCTTCATCTTCTTAATCTTCATCTTGTATAACCTGTGTTTACACATTCGCTTTGCTCTGCAGGTGCTGCGCAACATCAAGTTCATCGGCAACCACGCCACGAAGAACGGCGGGTCGCTGTGGATCAAGAGCAACGCCGTCGAGGCCTACAACAGCACCATCAGCGCCAGCACGAGCGACAACTACGGCGGTGGCGTCTACATTGAGTCGGCCAACCTGAAGCTCTTCGGCTCGCACGTTGAGTACAACAGCGCCGACGAGGCCCGGC